AAGTGAGGAGTTAGCATATAATTTAAAGGGGGACAGGTTGGGCAGGGAGGGAGCTCACACTGGGGAGAAAACAAAGCCTTGACTGTTGAATTTGGACTTTTGATCATTAAGGATGTGAATTTTTATTTTCCAAAGCAAATGATGTATAGCTTTGGGCAATTGCCCAGGTGTCGGTTATGTGAAATTTTCATTTTCTGGAGCCTGGAAGGAACTTCTTTGGCACTAGAACATGTTAATATATGAGCATAGTTGTTAGTTCTGGCTACCATCCTTACAACATCCTTACAGCTTTTTGAGATACTTTGTGCTTGTTTATGGTGGTGTGAGTTTGAATTAGTTCTAAGAGGAAGTAATGAATAGCAGGCATGGAAGTAAGAGACTGACTTTATTTTGCATATATGTTTATTTGTGGGAGCATGAGGAGATGATGATTGTTAATTGCTAACCCTGTGATTCTTAATTATGAAACAGAGTTAAAATTGTTCATGTCACTGGTTTCCTTGTGTGGTTGACAGTGAGAATTACCAGAGAAGTTTTCAGTTACTTGGGGTTGGGAATGAGTATGAGTATACTTTTGTTATTTTACAAAATACTTATTTTTAGAAAGTTAATATAATCAGTGTGTATAAGATTAGACAGGTATAAAAGAGTATGAAGTAGGGGAAGAAAGAGAAAAAACCCAAAAGAACATGGAGTGGAAAATAAGCCTTCCTCTGTCTCCTAACCTCCAAAGTGCCCAGTTACTCTTCATGGGAGCAGCTGTTGCTAGCAGTTTCTCTGTACTCTCTCAGATTTCTGGGGATACATAATATACTTGCAAATAACCTATTGATCATTGCACAGATAGTACCCAGATATGCTCTTTCGTACCTTTTTTCATTGAAATAATATTCCTTGGAAGATTTGTTCATTTTTCTTCTATTGCTTGTCATAGAGCACTTTTTCCGAAGTTTAAAGGCTACTTGTATTTCCTGTTCTGTTTCCTCTGTTTGTGTCCTTTGCCTGCTTTCCTGTTAGGTTATTTATCTTTTTTATTAACAATTCATAGGTTCTTGGTATGCATTAACAAAATTAGCCCCCTTCACACACTTTTTTTTCTCCTTGTGATATATGGTATTTATATTTTCCCCAGTTGGTATTTGTATAAAAATAATTATTTTGCTGGTACATTCTTGATTTTTGTGCAGTTAAATTTACCAGTTTATTCATTCAATAAATATTTATTGAATGTCTCTTACATATTGGGCACTTGTTCACAGAGGCTGGCTGTATCACAGTGTAGGTCCTAGTTCTTAATCCAGAGAGCTTTTATTCTGGTGGAAGAGACAGTCAGAAACAGATGTACAAATAGACTTGTAGAGATCAATCTGTCAATCTGTAATCAGGGTTTTTTTTTTTTTTTTTAATTTTCTAGAGGCATGTCTTATTTATTTATTTATTATTTGTTTGTTTGTTTGGTTTATACATGCACTGGGTACAGTCAGAAGCGCGGGAGGGTGAGAGAATTCACCAGAGCCAGAGCGGGGAGCAGAGCAGGCAGAAGGACCGAAGTACACTGCTGAGGGGAGCAGCGGGCGGCAGGAGAGGTCTGCGCGCCATGTGGGACCCTCCTCCGGTGGCCAGGGAGCAACCGGGGATCGAACCGGCTGCAGAGGCTGCAGGCAGCTTCGCAACCCAGCGCTCAACCGCTGCGCCACCGGGGAGGCCCTGTAATCAGGGTTTTTTTTATTTGTTTTGTTTTGGTGGCTTCAGAGTTTTGTATTATAGTTCCAAGACCTTTTTCATTCCTAGATTCCATTCCTTGTCTCATGGTTCCTTGGAATATCATATGGTTCTTTTTCAGATTTAAAGTTTTGATCCATCTGGAATGTTAGGTATGAATCCAACTTAGTTTTTTCTAGGGGCTCTATTAATTAGGGTAAGACTGAGTGTAGTAACCAAGGGACCAAAACATGCTATGGTTTAAAGAACATAGAAGTTGATTTTCTCTCCTCCTGTCACCTCTACAGTGTGAGCAGATGAGGTCAGTGGAACAGCCATGTTCAGGAGTCATCAGGTTTGAGCTCCTTCTCTCCTGTCGCTCTGGTCATTATCCCTGTGGTTATCTGCATGGGGAGCGCTGGGTTGCGAACATATCTGGGCCTCCTTCGAGTACAGGGTGAAGGAGAGAATCCAAGTGATGGGAAGTTGCTTCTACTTCCATAGGTGAGGACTTAGTCATGTGGGAACAGCTAGTTGCCTGTGAGGGTGGGCAATGAACTCTGTGCTGCTCAACATGCACCAAGCAAAAGAGAAGAAGGGATTTTAGTGGGAAGTTAGTGGTCTCTGTTATATTGACTAGTCATTCCAATTTTATTGAAGCGTCCAACATTTCTCCTTTGATTTCTTTGGTATTATAAACTCCCATATCCTTTTTGGTGTGTTTTTGGGATATCCATTTCATTTCAGTTGATCTGTGCCTATGTGTATACCAGAATTACAGCATTTTTTTTTTTATTTATTTTTTATTTTTTTTTTGCTCATGGAGCTTTAATATGTTTAACTCTTTGGATAGGAATTGTTCTTTGCTTTTGATGTTTTAGTTTATAGGATTTTCATATTTGTGTGTGTGTTTTTTTAAAGAAATATATGAATTTTAAAATAATAATATCTAGCTGCCACTCCAGCTTGAGAAGAAAACCTGTTAATACTATTTGGATTGTGTTAAATGTTTAGATAAGCCTTGTTAGGGAGGGTTCACATGTATATGATAGTTTTTCTTATTTAATGATAATATTGCACAGTGTTGGGGAAATACTTGGATGTTATGATTTTTCTGTATCTTTTGACCCCTGAAACATATAACTGAAGTAGGGAGGGAGGAGAAACTTATCAAAACATATATTAATTTTAGTTTCATATTTGGGTTCTGATTATGACTAGGTAACTGATACTTATTTTTCTATTAAAAACTAATAAATTTGGACCTTGAAAAAAAAAGTTTTTCTGTTTAAGATTAAAAATAGTTGATAGTTTAGAAGTTTATCATAATACCTATTTGTCACACAAAACTGGGCAAGTTTTTGCATAACCACATGATACACAATAGTGTTACTTTAGTGTGTATGTCTATTAGTCACACCTTTTTTTAAACAACCCACCTTGTGCTTTTATCTTTTTCCTCTTTTTTATAAAATAGGACGGATACAAACAAAGCATGCAGAGCTTCTTTAGTAACTAGAAGGTGAATATTTATTGTGATCTCTACACAGCTGAGAGACAGACCTGCCACCTGAGAACCCCTTAGCCTGTTCCATACCTGGCACAGCCCCTCCCTCCCAAGTTAGCCACTTTGCTAACTGATTTAGGGCTTTATCATTTCTGTGTGCATTTCTAGCCACTATAGTTTAGCCTTGCACCTCTCTCTGTCTTTTAAGTCTCCTAAACCTCAGATTCCCCTCCAGTTGTTTCTTTTTGTCCTCTTGGTGTTGGAGGACATGGCCACTCCCCTTTCATTCCCCTAGTTACATTCACCTCCTCATGGTTTATTTCATTTCAACTTGTTCTTTTTCTGTTAGTGGGAAGTGGTATTTTGACACCAACTCTGGACACCCAAAATGCTCATTCCTCTTGGGTGGTCATTGTTACAGGCCTTTTTTAGTGGCCAGAGGAAAAATGCATAGATATTGCTTGATGAGTTCATACTAATATTTCGAATTCAAATTCAGTTTCTAAGGTTCTGACTAAACCTTTTCTGTATTATGTCTATCTCCATCATTCTACACAAAAAAATTCTGGTTCTCTGGGACAGTGAACCAGAATTAGAATATACCGCAGTTATTCGTTTGCTTTCCCCGTTATACACACAGGAGTCTCAGACCTGCCACAGCTCTAACGCTGTACCACTAGTTATGATAGCTGAAAAGCAATAATGACAATTTCTTTTGAGTATGCTGTTGCATTCTTCCCAGGATTTTTGCTCAGGGAGGGAGTGATTGGGGGATGCTCATATCTGTTGAAAATTGGGCAACTTTAAGCACTGATGAGCTTTTAGGTGATATTGGAAGAGGAATACTTTTAATTTTATTATTTAATTTTATTTATTAGTGGTTGTGTAGTTAAATTTAGAAAAAGTCCTCATCTGTTTGAGAATTTGTGAATGAAGTGATGTGACATCTGGGAGTCTCATTAAAATATCTCAGGAAGAAAATGGGCAGTATAGAGGAAATAAGATTGCTTATTTTTAAAACTAGATGGTAGGATGTTGCTTTTTTTTTTTTTTAAAAATTGATTTATTTATGCATACAAGAGCTGGGGTGTAGACCAGAGGTGCAGAGGGGTGAGATGATTCACCAGAGACAGAATGGGAAGCAGAATAGGCGGACTGACTGAAATACACTGCTGAGGGGAGCAGCGGGCGAGACAGGAAATGCCATGTGGGTAGTTCCCTGGCTGACCGGGAATTGAACTCGTGCTGCAGAGGCTGCAGATTGCTTTATAGTGCTCAGACTTTACCCCTTGCACCACCAGGGAGGCCCTGCTGCTTATTTTTGAAACTGAATGGGGTTTGTTATTTTCCCTTTTTGTTTCTATATAACTTGAAATATCTGTAATAAAAATTTTAAAACCACTTATAAACAGTGAAAAGACAAGAACATATTATAGAAGATGGTAGTGAGGAAGATAGTTATAAGGACGGTAAAGACAGGAAGGGGGGAAATAACTAAAGAACAGGTGTTTCCATTCTTAACTTGGTGGTTTGGACGTGGGCCAGTGACCCTGAAGAAGGCTGAGATGTGCTCCTTGAGAGAAACCAAGATCTCAGGGAGGAGTGGCAGAAGGGAAAGCTCCATCCAAGGAAACGGAGAAGAACCAATCCATGTAGGTAAAGACGCCAGAGGGAGCGTGACTCCTGAGTCCCAGCTGGGGACGAGCTCTGGAGAGAGGGGGCACTACCCTGCTGTGGCAGAGACCACTGGGACCCCACCCGGGACCTTCTCACCATCACTCCATTTGCTCAGAGCTTGTGGATTCTAAGCCTTATCTCAGGTCAGTCCAGTCAAAGTCTGAGGGTGAGGCTTACGAATCCCTGTTTTGAGGAAGCTCTAAGAATGTAGAATCTGAAGAAGGTAAGGTTTAAAAAGAGTTGGAATGAGTTGTTCCAGGGAACAACTGGAGCAGAACACCTCAGACTGAGGATTGGATGGAAAGGGAGGGTGTGGAGGAAGCTGGGGACACTATTCTTTCCAGAAAATTTTCTGATGAGGAGATAAGATAAGAGGGAAGACTTTGAGTTGAGGAGTAGCTGTTGTAGTTTTTGCATATAGTAATGTAAGAAAGATATTTGCCTATCAATGGGGAGAACAGGAATGACTATCAGTGCAAAATGATGAAGTAGTCTGGCCTAACCTGAGCTTTGGACCCTCATCACCAGAGGTGGTTTTGGGGGAAGAACTTGATTTTTGATAGTTCAAGGAGAGCTTGGTAATTGTCATCATGTGTAATATGCTCTTTTTATTTGTTAGCACTTTGAATTAAATATTGGAAGAGGAGAGGCACACAAGTCTTTTCAGTGCCTCTGTCTGAACCTTTTAGTTCCTCTTCATGTGGGGGTTTCTCTTTCTTGTTTTCCTTCAGGTGGCCTTCGCGTCTGTGCAGAACCTCCCAAAGGGGCTGCCTGGTCAGAGTGGTGTTTCTCGGATGATTGGAGGGGACTCCCCTATTTTCAGGATTTCACAATCACAGGCTTCAAAGGTTGTGGAGAGAGCATGAGGTGAGAACCCAGTTCTCTGCCTCAGGGTCTTGGTTCTGTTTTCTTTTAAATAATAGAGCAGATTCTTCATTTCTACCCTGTAGACTTTCTACCTTTGTGTCCTTGGGTGCATCATCCCTTTTCTTCCCACTTAGTAGAGTACATGTATTTTTACTTTGAACTTGGCATTGTTTTCCTATTTAGGTCAGTGAGTATTTTAGTTGGGTGGGTGGACTTTGAGGGACATAAGTTTTTGGGTTTCTCTCTACCTGGCTTGCTGAACCCCTCTCTCTGCCTCGTCCTCCCTCCTCCTCCTTGTTTTCTGTTGTGGTTCCTTCAATGCCAACCCTTTCAACTTGTGCGCTGAACCTGTGTACACGCCTCCCTTTCTTTCTCATGATCGTATTTATGCTTTTGATGGATATATTTAAATGAACAGCTGTGCGTTTGTTGAGTCATACCACAATTATCTGATTCTGCTGTAGCTGCTCGACTGGCAAAAGCATATTTCAGGCTAAGTTGTGAGAGAATTCCATTAATCACATTCTATTCGGGGGAGGGGAGAGAAGAAAGACCACTAAGAAAAGTCTTTTTAAATATTAATGTTAATTAGTTAGTGCATTATTTTAGAGTAGATTGATTTGGTTGCTACTTAAGGTGTCACCAGGAGAAACTTCATAAAGGCATAAATAACTGTAAAGGTTTAGTGATCATCAGCCTTGTAGGCAGAATTCCCTGGAATCATGGTCTACAGACACAGTAGCTGGTGCTAGTCTATTTAAATAGATAAAGGGTCTTTAAAAGAGTTCCTTCAGTGAAGACCAGTATTGTTGAGGCTACATTCTTTGAATTCATTGGCTAAGTATTTTGTGTTCAGCCTCCTGAACAGATAACTATGATACGGAAGATGTTGCAAATTTCTCTTTCTTCAAATGCATTAATTGTTCATTGTAACCTCTGATTGAGTCTTTGGCTTCCATCAGCCAGACCTATTTTTCTCTTGACGCTTCCTCAGGGTTCTTTCTGAAGGTTATTAATAGGCATGGAAGTATGGCTTTCTAAACAGCATCAGTAACTGTTAACAGACTTGGGAGTGGGGAGGCAAAATATACCTCAATTTCTGACTTGTTGGAGATATATTTTCAAGCTACAGAAGCTATCTCAGAGGTCACTGGGGATGGCTCTGCGTAGATCAGCTGGTGTCTGCAACTAGAGATCCAGGCAGTCCTTTCCAAATGGAATATTGTCCACCAGGGAGTTGTCTGGTATACCCGGAGTCTGCCAGCCGTCTTTTTGTTTGGCTGCTTCTCTTGGATGACACCCTTGAAAACTGAAATCCAAGTTACAAATGATATCTTTTAATTTATCTCAAATTCCCAGTTGCTACTATATTAAATGGAGGACATGGAGCACCCCCACACCCCAAGTTACTTCCTTGCCAGGCTATAAAGTTCCTTAAGCTTCACCTTTCTCTCTCTGCCTGAATCAAAGTGTCGCATAGACTAAGAAGTTAAAATTAATGTGTATGAATTTATACTGAGTGCCCAGTATGCGCCGTGTATAGTGATGTACCCACAGTCTTACTCTCATGCTGCTGGTATTGTGGTGTGTGGAACAAGGAGGAGAAATAGATGGGGAAACAACAATAGTCAAACTAATGAATGACAACTTTCACACGGTGTTAAATATTATGAAGATAACATGGTAGGGGAATACAGCGCAGGGGTGAGGACGAGAAGGTCTGAGGCAAGAATGGGATTCAGTGTGAGGGTGGAGTGGATGGGGAGAAAGACTGTCAGACTCGTGTATAAAGGGGGGTTTTTCTCACTTCCACAAAATTGTAATTCTGAGAGAGGGTGAGACGTATACCTCCTCCTCGGTGCTGATATCCTTGTCATTTTATTCAGAATCTCCCCCTGCCCTTCACAAATTATGAGAGGTTAATCATGCTAGCCTTATAACTGGGACAGTTGTGTCAGATGGTAGAGACTCACCACACCACGGGTCAGGCAAAGGGACAACTATAGAAAGATCTGCCATCAGGTCAAAGGGGAAACTTCAGGCATAGTTTGAAGTGAGACAGAGGATCAGGACGGCATCTCTGGGGCTGGCCTTCCCAAAAGGACCAGACAGGTTTTTCTCAACATGTCCAGAGTAGGCTGCTTGCCTGCCTCCTTGATAGAGGAACAAAGGCCAGCCGAGGCTCCGTAAGCTTAGGGACTATTATTATTACTTTATGACTACAGTATTATTTTTGTCCAGTGAGGGCTGTGGAGGCTGAGGAGAAACCCCCTAGTTCTTCAAGCTTCCTTAATGGGACAAGCAATTACTGCTCCCTTTATGCCTTAGAAGAATGTATTTTATTCTCAGTGTAAGAATGAGATAACCCCCTCCTTGTCTATTATTTGAAGTCCTCCCCCTGACATCCCAGGCCCCCTAAATGCAGGATTAGTAACTTTGGTCTGCTCCATTATTTTTTAGAATCTACAGCTTTGTAAAATTTCCACATCTATGTTAGTAATTTTTGGCCTTTTCTTCTGATGTTTCTGATGTTAAGTTCTATGTCCGTCCCACCTCAGAAGAACCCAGATGCTATGTGGGAATTTTCCCCTGTGCCCCAGCACATCTCACTGAGGACTTTGGGAGCAAGTGGGTCTTTAAACTCTGTAGTATATATGAGGGTTTTTTTTGTTGTTTTGTTTGTTGTGTTTGGGTTTTTTTTTTTTTTTTTTTGCTTTTTTTGGGGGCGTGGTGGGTGGAGAGCCACAGAATCCTTCCTTCTCCTAGGTAAGAAACTTGTTTCAGTTCCAGTTTGTAAACTGGAGGGAGAGGAGTGAACTCTGAGCTGCCCAGAAAAATATCACAAAACAGCTGGGAGGTGATGGAGTTCTATCAGTTGAAACAAAGCAGGAGAGCCACGGCTATTTGATACAGAGGGAATGAAGTGGAACATGAAGGACAGTTTCCATGTAGTCAAGCGTGTCAAAATAAAACCTAGTCTTGAGAGACGAGGAAAGCATGTCGTAGGTGATCAAAATAGGAATCTCAAAAGTTGAGCTTAGTTATTGTCTGTATATCTGCTAGGGATGTAGCAAGGTCCATTTCATTTTGTATACAATTAAAGTAAATTTAGTGGGGCTTTTTGGGTTCTTACAGTAAAGTAAATTTACTGGGGCCTAACTTAAACCTTTCTACTTATTTTTATTCAATTAAACCTTATCTCCACCCCACCCCAATCTTCTTGTAGTTTATATTGTTCTTTTCCAAACAACATCTTGCTTGGGTCCAACTGTCACAGCTGGAACGTTTGTAATGTAACTCTTTCAGTCAAAACCCTTTCTTTGCTGAAGTAATCTGTAATTATTTCCTCTAACTACAGGATGAACTGATCCAGGGGCTGGGTTTCAGTTCTATAGGACTGTCCAAGAAGCTATTTGTATTCATCTATCGAGAAAGATCAAATTGCATGCTAATATTCTGAAAGTAACACCCCACCAGAAACCCTCCAGCAGCAGTGAAGTCTATATAAAACCAAGCCCTGGCAACTTGCACATTGCCAGTTCAGACAGAGTGTGGTGTTAAAAATATTTCACAGGTCATTTGTGAACCAGAGAAAAGACCCTGACTTAACTTATATGGTATGATGACTTTGGTTTAGCTTTTCTTTGCAGCTATAACTGACCGTCTGTGTCTCTTTTCAACCTTTCAAGGACCAAGTAGTTTGAAACAAGCTGCCCTTAGGTTGTCTCTCTCCTAGTGAGCATAGAAGAGACAACTGTTGTCACATGGCTGATTTTTGTCCCAGTTGGAGGTGGTTGTTGTAAGTATATCTTTGCTCAGTTTTATGTCTAGAATTTGTCTGACTGGGTCTAACCTCACCCCAATGTGACTTACACTAATTTGTGTTTTCATTTTGAGATGTGAGTTACAAGAAACTGAAAAGTGGGCATGGGAGTTGAAAGATAGAAACCTCCTGATGTACTATCAAGACAGCTTGTGTTTTGTTTTACATAAAAGTCTTTTTCAGGGCAGAGAGGAGGTGGGGAGATACCCAAACTCATGCGGTATATGATAACAATTTTGAGGTTAGAGAAATAGAAAGAGGACTCAGGTAACCATGAGGAAAGATTGTTTTCTAAGAGGAAAATCAAGATGGGTTGAGCTTGGATAAAATGTTAAGGATGACAAAAACAGATTATTAAATGATAATTGTGATCCCAACTCTGGTCAGATGGTTTTGGGTTTGATCTTGTGTTCTTAAGCAATTTTTTTATCTGTTAAGATGGAATTAATATGATTGTTTATTTTAGAGTGTTTGGGGAGAGATGGAATGAGATAATGCATATGATCCCAAGGCACTGTGCCTGGCTGGCACCACTGTTAGGGTGATAATGTTGTAAGAGTGACTGATAACTAAAAGAAAAGCAGAATTACTCTAACTCTTTCTGCTTTGCCTCTGCTTTTTATATGAATGAGAATAATTTTATTTTTTCTTATGGGAGGTATAGCACAGATAAAGAGAGAAAATAAAAAGGACTGTTGGAATAGCAGTGACAGCACTCACTAGGGTGGGTGAATAACTTCATGTGGATGGTGTAAAAATCATTCCAGATACAGAGGGTCACGTACAACCTGTTTTTCAAGATTTTTCCTATCTTGGAGATTGCTGAATTGAGTATCAAGAAAGTCCCTGTAGAATAATTAGGCACTAAGTACCTGTTCAACAAATGGACAGACCAAATGAATTTGGGCCACCAGGCCAGACAAACATTTTGTAGGATTTTCTGATGAAGAATCTTAAGGTTCATTGGCAACTTCCCTCATCCCCAATATGATGGATAACAAAATTGTGTGCTGTTCATTAGTCTTTGTTTAGTTTTTGCTCTTACAGTGGATTACCAACTAGATTACTTAATCTGTGCGTTCCAAAAGTGTATTATATATTCTTGATATCAAAATGCTTTGTGATTTTTTTGGGGTGGGGTGGGGACTAAGGTATTGCAGTCTATCTGTGACTTTAT